TTAGATTCGTCGAGAGGAAATAAAAGATTCCATGCCTGCCTGAATCCAAGAAGTTACTTAAGAAGCAAATTTTTCTGCAAAAAGAAGAAATAATTTAACTAAAGTGCTATTACGAAGAAAATAATGGAAAAAATCCCATTTAGCTTTAAGGTAATTGTAAGAGGTACGATGATAAGAGTCGATGACACTTGAGCCAAGCCATTCAGTGTGATGAGCTTATCAACAACAACGAGTTACCAACAACAACGATGTTGGCTGGTGGATAAAAAGAGAGAGCTTGGTCAATATGATCAGAAATAACAACAAAAAGATTGGAGTCTTAAGATGAAGGAGACCGATATAGAATAAAGAGAATGGCAATAATGAAGTGGTAAAATAAAACTCAAATTTCTATTGAAAAAAATCATTTTTTAGGATGTTAAGTTTTTAAACATTTTACTATGGAGTTACAACCCCATCCCCTCCTTCTCTTTTATTTTATAAACACGGCGAATAGGGGCTGTGAATCTTTTGCATATAAAGTTTTAATCTCAACGGTCCTACGTGCAGCCTATATAAAATGCTCTTGTACATTTTATTTAAAGGTTACAAAAGAAAGCGCATAAAAGAATAGTCAGTGGATTCAAGCCTAGTTTCCCGATAGTTTCCCGAGCAAATTCATACGAATGTAAATGCTCAGACCAAGCATTTGACTATTGGCGTCTTTATGAATTAAAGGAATACAACCATTAACACTAAGATTACAAGATGCAGCCGAAATCAATTAAGTATCAAAAAGAGAAAGTAGGTCTGGTGAACTTTACATGAGGTAAGACTCAACAGAAGAAAAGTTACTTCGGAGAATACGAATATTAGTCAATGATAGATTTAGAGAACTTAGTGAGGACGATGATTTTTATGTTTTACAGTTTTTGGTACTTAGTCATTTTTAAATTTGTTAAAGAACTTTACTCAAAACATAGATAGTACTCACTACACTATTTGATAGTCCAAGCAATCGCCTCATTACTATTTATAAACCTAAAGCCATAACAAAGGACTCCAAATGTGGCCTCGACAATGCACACCAAAAGTATGAACAGGAAAACCATCTATGTGCAACATGGCACTGTTAGTACTCTGATATTTTACAGTTGTTGATGGAATCAGCCTCTGTCAGAGCTATCACAGAGTTCCGTAAACAAAGTTCGGTTTTTTTTGGGTATGTTAAGTTTTTTGATTATAGGATATGTATTATTAATGTGATTGTTTCTTTAAAATTAAAATGAGCAATCAAATCTGTAAGTAATGTAGGTTATATAAATAAACCAATAATTTTTCAATAATGTGTTTTTGTAAATAGCGCGTATTTTTTTTCAATTAGTTTCGAAGCGCTCTGCATATTAGCAGTTTTCATCTGAACTGCTTTGCTTACTAAATTAATTTTTTAACAAGGCATCATAACAAGTGACCAAATTTAAAATCTGTAATTTTCTTGGCGATTATATTATTACCATAGCGGTACATTTTTTAAAAATATTTTTATTTTAATTTAACGTTGATTCATGGCGCCCCAGCCATGTTGGCGTCCTATGCAACCGAATAATTCGCAATGGCCCTTGCGTCGGCCTTCTATATACATGAATATAAAATCACATACATTTTAAAAGTTTATTAATAAAATCTTTATAAACATACGATAATTTTTATTAAACTGGTTTAACTAAAAAAATTTAAAGAAAGCAGCAAAAAAATTTAAAGAAAGCAGCAAAAAAATTTAAAGAAAACAACAACAAAATTTAAAGAAAGAAGCAAAAAAATTTAAAGAAAGCAGCAAAAAAATTTAAAGAAAGCAGCAAAAAAATTTAAAGAAAGCAGCATAATTCACTAAATGACAGTCAAAAAACAGTAAAACTAAAATGCAGCAAGCAGGTGCATTGTTTTTTATGATGACTATAGAGGAATAGTAACGAAAATTAAGATATACAAACGATGTACAAAAGATGTACAAATAGGTTTTAAACGAACATTGATACAAGTTTTAAAATTCATAACGAACATAGTTACAAGATTTGAAATTCGCAAAAAAAATTGTTATAAGTTTATACTAAAAAAAACTTGCTGTTATTCAGAATTTTTACATTTTAAGTTGAACTTTATACAAAAACGAACCTCAAATATAATAGAAAAATTTAGTTTAACCCGAAAAAAAAAGTCTTTTGAATGTTTAAAACATATTTAGAACGTCCAAAAAACAATTAAAAGATGTCTTTTTTAGATCCCACGCCAGCTGGGTAATACAGTTAGTTCATCGAACTAGTTGCAGGCGTTTAATGCGTAGAGCGCATCCAGTGTTCTTCAAACTCAATTCAAACTAATACATTTCAGATTGCGCACATCTATCACACCAGTAATTCAATTTCCTTTGACCTTAATATCAGTAAATAAAAAAGTAAAATAACTTTTTTGAACCTCAATCCATTACCAAGTTTTTTGATTAGGACCTCAATCCATTACCATATTTTGTTTAAGAAAGCGCTTTTGCAGTTATACTCTACCAAATTAATGTTGTTGTTTTTTTTTTAATTTGTTTTGTTTTAAACACAAATAGGTTTATTTTAAATATCACCAAATTTTATTTTACCTTTTCTTTTAGTTTTTGCTAAAACTATAAAACATAATGCAGGAAAGACCAGATAGACTTCGGATACACAGGTTATCTACTGCCGATATGTTGGTAGATGTTCTTAGCTTTAAGTTTACATTAAGTTTTTTACACACACACACACACACACACACAAACACACACAAACACACACAAACACACTCGGTATAGCATAAGGTATAGTCTCTCAAACATAAAAAATTCCCCCTAGAATTTTTTAATGTGCTCTCTTTGGGAAAACTTTGGACACTGTCTGAAGTTGCACAGTTGCAGATGCAAAAAAAAAAGGTAAAAATTTGTACAAAAAAGACAATCAAGAAGAAGATTTTAGAAGAAAAAAACCTCTAAAAAAAACCATTCAGAAAACATTGCAATATGAATCAATAGACCAACAGATTTTAACTAATGAGAGTACATATAACCTTAATGACGACCAATTCAATTACAGAAATACTGATACTTTTGATATGTCAGATAGAAGACTTATAATTGTAAAGGTCTATGGATGTGAAAAACAATCAGATTGTAGCTTTACAACAAAAGTTGTTAAAAAAATGAAGTTGATTGTGAAGTTGAGCTTTACAAAAGAAAAATCCCTCTTAATAGATTTTTAAGAACTAATGTTTGAATTGCCAGTTCCAACAATGGAATGAAGTCTCGTTTTGAAAACATGATCTATTTTTGGGTTGTTCAATAATGTTAACAATTTTTACCTCTCTCTCTCCCATATCAACAATTTGACAAACTTCCAGAGAACCCCCTCCCCTCATACTATTACTTCAGTTATTGATTCCCCCCACCTTCCCAAAAATTAAACTAAAATGCAAAAAAAAAAAAAAAAAAAAAAAAAAAAGACAAATTTATAACTACAACAAAAAAGTGGTTAAAAATAAAACGTTTAGAAAAAAAAATTTAACTTACTTTTAACTTATGAACATATTTAAAAAATTAAACTTTTAAAAAGTAGGAATATAGTTAATTTCATTGAAATACTGAAGATTAAGTGAGTGTGTAACCCAGGACTACAAACACTGCCTAATTTTCTTTTTTTTAAGTATCGGTTGGGCTCAGTACTTTCCGGCCAGTTATACTTATTAATAACTAAATACCTTACGAATTAATTCCAAAATTTTTTAATAATGGCGTTCTATATTCATATTTTTATTGGCGTTCTATATTCATATTTTTATTGGCGTTTTACTAATACTATCAGTTTAATAATTTAAAATAAGTAAACAATCGGAAACAATCGGAAACATTTGGAAAAATAAACAATCGGAAAAAGATTTAAAAAAATTTCTTACAAAATCCAACCTACTTACATTCAAAAATTGCAAAATTGTCAAGCCGTTAATTCTCCAGTAGGAGACATATTGTGGTGATTCAAAAAGACTCAAATTATTGAAAGAAAAATATGCAAATTCTCCAAATTGCCTTCATTTTAATCTAATATATTGTTTTTATTTGTTTTTTGTGATTTTATTTATCAAAAGTTTTAATCTGCGTAATATTTATATTTAAAATTAATTCTTTGTTTTCTATTTATTCATTTTGGTTAAATTTGAAATATTTACAATATGAGGCATCCTATACATTTTAGTTATTTAAAATATAAGTAACATTTAAAATGAGACTATTCTCATTGACAGGTAACATTTTTGCAGAATAAAGAGCTAGTTTGCTGCCGAAAAACTGGACAGCAACTCTTTTTGCACCCCAATATTCCTAAACTTCTAGAAATCTCTACATAATTGATAACTGCAAATAAAATTACATTATATTTGTTAGGAATTTTGTATTTATTACCAAGGTTTAGTTTATATATATATATATATAATTACATTATGTTTGTTAGGAATTTTGTATTTATTACCAATAGTTTTTGATTGCCCTGTAGTACAATGGTTTTTTAATTTAATTTACAAGTTACAGTCTGTGTTGCATGTCATAAAAAAAAAGTTATAAAGTAAATTCCGGTTTTCCGGCCAGAAATATTTTAAGTCCGACCGGAACCAGAATGACTTAATTTCGACCGGAATTCCGTGCGGAAAGAAGGTCCGCTACATCCCTTGTTGACATAATTAATAGACAGCCCAATTTGCATATTTTTAAAATTTAAAATGCAAATTGCATAATTTAAAAATAAAAATAGTTTATTTGATATAATAATACATGTCTGAAGCCAACCCAATTGAATTCGGACACTAGTATTTAAAAAAAAAACTTTGAAAAATTGAAAATCTTGAAATATGAAGAAAGTTAAAATTTTAAAAGATACAACAAAACACGTGCTATGACGCACGAAATTTGAAAAAACCCAGTCTAATAAACACGTGTTTCCAATCGGGTTTTTCTATTCTTAATTAATTCGTGACGAAATATCGGAATAACATCGTTTTCAAGTGCGAAGTTTGTTTTCAAGTGCGAAGGGACGCATTTAAAATTACAATTTTTTGCTTTTGTCATTTCAACTCTAACAAAAATATCTGTAAAATGACTAGCCGTTTTTTGCTAAAGTCTTGGTTTTGTAAAAATAATGCTACTAAAAGGCTGGTAAGTTAATTCTAAATTTTTCAAATATATTTGTTAATGGAAAAAAAACTATTTTGAATAGTATGAAGCTATATAAAAAGTTATAAGGTAGGTATGTGGAATAAAATTATTAATTTAATCAAATACTAGGTTGTTATTATTAAGTTAATCAATTATCAAAAAAGGTTTTAAGTAATGAATTTAGAATATATTGGTTTGTGGAAAAAAACTGCTGTCAAAGTATGGTTCTTCTCGACTTAACTTGTTTGCTTTTGTGAATTAACTTATTGCTCATAACTTGGTATCAAAAGGTACAAATTTCTATCGGCTATTAAACGCCGGGCGTATACAGGGGATTAGAGGGGGTCCCGAACCTCACTTTTACCATTGTTTGCATGTATACAAAAGTTTTTTTTTTCCTGCAAGAAATAGCTAATTTTTATATACAATGTTGTCATAACCTTATTTCAAACCACTACAAGAGTGATACTATCTTAGGGTTGTATGTTTTAACAAACTCTGGTTCTTATGAATTTATAAGTTCTTATAAATATTTTATCTTCATTATATCAGAGAAATTAGTTTACAATTTACAATATATATAATAAAAACTTTTTTTTAACAAGATTTTACACATGCAGTTGTAGCCAAAAATATCATACCAATATTTATAGCAGAAAAACTGTTTGTACTGTAACAAAAGAACAAAGATGTCACTAATGTTATATACAGTAGACACATTATATAACAAAACATGTTATATAATGTGTCTACTGTAGCCAAATTTTTACAGTTTTATCCTTATTTTTGCAAAATTTGAGGTAATCAGTAATATTTTTTGAGAAGGGTATGGTTTTATTGCAGTATTGTACAGTCAAAAATTAAAGTCCTTGATAAAACATCTTTAAACTGTGCATCCACTAACAATAGCACTAGTAAAGATTTAAGTGAAATTTTTCATTATTTAATATTGAGTTACTTATATGCTCAATATACATTAAAATCACATTTTAATGTATATTGAGCATATAAGATATTTTCCTATTTGTTAAAATTTTTGCAACCACCCACTTGACACGAGTTTATTTAGTGTGTTTCCCGTACAGAGAAGCGATTCTATTAATAAAATGAGGTAGGGGGTAAATCCTTAAAAAGTATTGACTAGTTCCTTAAAATATATAAAAAAAAGGTCCTCAAAACTAAAATTTACCAGACTGAATTGTATTTAATACCAGACCAGCCAACTAAATACATTAAAAAACGGATCTCTAATCACCTTATTTGGGAGAGGAAGGGGGGGAAGAGGTGTGTAAACCACACCCCCATAAAATCGCCTCTGCCAGTACACATATTTTGCATTTGTAAATTTCCATTGAGATTTTTCACATAGTTTTTTTGCAGTGTAAAATAGCTTTAAGCACAAAATTGAATTGCTGTTAACTATCTTAGTTATCCACAATTTAGTCTGATTTTGTAATTATATTTGTGGTAGTCATTTTACAACATTTGTTACAAAGTACCATTTATTCCTCTCCATTAAAAGATTTGACCCATTTTTTTTATTACCTATTAAATTTCACATTTGACCTATTTTTCTTATAACCCATGAAAATCACTGATAAAAAAATGGCAAGGTGCTAATGAAGAACCCATACTAATACCATCAAAAAGCCATGCATTTTTGTTCTCGGATTACACAACAAGAAACATTCCTCAATATCTTATACCTTGGAAATCGAAGAAAATATTATTTTTGGACATACTAATTGAACTTTCAAAATTAACAAAATTATTTTTGGTCCTTTGTAACAATATTACCAATCTTTTCAAAGTCCTCACACATTATTTGTACCCATCTTGGATAATAGAAAAAAACACTATTCTAACTTAAATATAGATAACTGTTCCTTTTGAGTTATAAATCTTGTTGAAAGTTAATTTATTTAAAAAATAAAAAATTAGTTTTTTATGTTTTGTAGAGTTGTACTATCATCAACGTCTTAACACCATTCATGTCTTTACATCATTCCACATTCATTGTCTAACTAATAAATGGGTTTGTTAATCAACTAATAATCATGCTTTTAAAATAATTTTGAGTTGAAAGTGGATTTGTAAATATATTTTTAAATAGTTATTTAATTAGTTCACATTTGTACATTTTAAATATAGATAATTGTGATTTAACCTTTAAATCCACCTTTATCATCATCTGAAAAGTGGAAAAAAGGTGTGTTACATGTTTGAACCTGCTGTGGTAGATTTTTCATAAATTAAAAATAGTAAGACAAGGTTGAAATTGTAGCAAAGATTTTTATTTTTATTTTTTTTAGATAAAATAGAGATCATCAATTTTATATGACAAAATTTATTGGATAATATTTTTTTTTATAAAAAAAAATAAATAATAATAATACTTTTATAATAATAATAATAATAAAATACTTTGATTTTTAAATGTTTTTTTTTTACTATTTTCAGATTACTTCATGTCCTAACACTAAAGACAAGGTAATGTTTAATGCTGGTAGTTAATTTATTATAAATAATAAAATTACTACTGGTAATAATAATATTAATATTATATTTTATTGTTTTAATTTTAAAAATTTATTTTTGAATTAAAAATCAAAGTAACTTGAAAAGTTACTTTGACTTGATTTAAAAAAAAGTAGTTCCATGTCAAATGACACAGAAATTTTCAAAAATGTCCCCCTATATCTCAAATTTTGCTAATTTTTAAAAGTTGTTAACCAAACAAAAAATATTACTTATTGCAAAGAAAAAAACTCAAGTTACATTACCAGCGCTTTTTTTTGTGAAAAAATTTAGGTTTCCAAGTATCATTTATTAAAAAATATATACCATTGCGCTTTTACTTGCCCTATGACAAAAAAGTTAAACGTGCGTTTTATGAATATTTTTTATACAGTTTTATAACATGTTTAAGAACAAGTTATGACATGTTTACAAGGAATTTAATTTTGAATATAAAATAGGAAAAGAGGAGAAAAAAACTAATTTTATTAATTTAAATAACTTTTTTATTCAAAATTTCTTTTTAATTATAAGGAAATTTCTGTTTTTACTATTTTGATATGATCAGATATATACAATATTTTATATATCTGATCAATTTATTGGATTTTTCACCCTTGAAAATGTGCTGGTACAAATTTTTAAGTAAAAAGATCAAATTATTTTAAAGTTATGTAACTTAAAACCTTTAAATAAATGTAGCAGTTCTGAGGGGACAAGGGGGGGTCTAAACATTATTTGCTATAAGTAAAATAGTCATATTTTTGGATCTTCTTGGAGCCAGAGGCTAAAAGTTTCAAGAAATTCTTATTTTACTTAGTACTTTTAACTGTATAAAAATCAGCAAATTCTGATGTATGATGATATGGTCTATATTTGAAAAAAGTAAATTTATGTTTTTACATTTATTATTTTTTCCATATTGTCATATATTGGGATTCAAAAATTCACACATTATTTTGTATCAATTATTAACTTTGTAGTTAAAGAAGCAATAAGTCAAATAGCTTCACCATGCTTTACTTTACCCAGCTAAATACCGCAACGATAGTATTTTAATGTTTATTGCCACAGTTTAACTATAATAAGAGATGCAGTACTAATAGCAGTATTGCATCATTTATTATATTATACTAGCAGTAAGCAACCCGTAGTACGGGTTGTTAGTAAATAAAAAAAAAAAAAAAAAACGCATTTAAAAAAGTCTAGAAACTACTTAAAAATAGAAAAGCCTAGAAAATTATGTAAGTCGACTATTACTACTATTAAATTAGCGTATTAATATTATCAGAAGTGTGGAGATAAACAACAAAGTACTACAGCATATTTCACAATTAAACAAATTTTTACAAAGTATTATTACTTCCACAAAATACTATAACTATAGTATTTTGTTGTTTATCTCTGCAGTTTAACTGTAGTAAGAGATATAGTACTGCAGTATTTTGACTATATCTGAGTAAGATATAACGGTTTTTCAGATTTAAGTTCATTTACTTTTCACATTTCAATTTCTAATATTTTAAAATCAATTTATTTAGCCTTTTGAAAAAGTGTTGATTGCAAATCGTGGAGAAATTGCTTGTCGAGTAAGTAAGGTTACAATATTAAGAATGATTTCAAAATTTTTCAAATATTCTTTTGATTATCAGAAAACATTCTGCTGCTTTTTTTTTATTGTTTAGGAAATATTTAACTTTATATATATAAATTATATATAAATTAAATACAAAAAAAATATATAAATTAAATATAAAAAAAATATATAAATTAAATATAAAAAATAACTATATAGTTTTTATATTGTTATTAATTAATGAGTTTTATTCAAGTTTTACACAATTTTATATTTTTAAAGATAATGAATACATGTAAAAGACTTGGTATAAAAACAGTAGCTGTTTACAGTGAAGCAGATGCACAAGCTGTAAGTATTTAAATATATTATCACTAAAAAAGATGATTTTTTTTTTATGGTTGGAATTTTATCTTATTAAAAAATGTTTTTTTTTTAATAAGATAAAATTCCAAAATATGTTCTATATAAAAATAAAGAAATATACTGAAAATTTTACTTTAAGATTTCAATATAAAATGTTTTAAAAACAGTAATAAGTTTTTGTAGGAGATCAATAAACAAAATAAATTAATTTTAAGTAAATAGTTGATTATATTATAATATATTATAAATTGGTCATTCATATTTATATATTTAAAAAATTGTATTTTAGGAAAAGTACAGAACTAAATGTTTCAAAGTCTTTCAAAAACTTTTTTTTGTTTGTTTTAATTGATCCAGCGACAGAAAATATATATTCTGTGGATCTTGCGTTATTTTGATCATCAGAAGTAAATTAACAAAAAAGGCCAATGAAGGTTTTTTTTGAATAAATCGAATCGTCAAAATTCCTTTTTAACTAGGTTTAATTTATTGACTTCACCATTTATTGTGTTGCATTTTCAGATGATTTATTTGTTATTGACATTATTGCCTTTTGCAGCTCCTGCTGTAAATTTAATTTCACAAAATCTGATTCTTTAGCTGAGCTCAAAATATTCATTTTTAGTTCTTCTTCATTTGTAGGTTGGTCCTTTTCAATATTTCATAACCCAAAGTAACAACAGCCTTTTTTGATGAGTATTTAAAGTTTTCGTTTGATCATGTAACACAACTCTTCTGTAGATAAATTAGTAATGTCATTAAGGTTTTTTTTTTTTTGTCATTCTTTTTTTTTAAGTGGTTCAGTAATTTTTTGCTTTAATTAAATTTCATATCTTTCTGCTTATCAAACATGAACTTCTGTAGACCCTTAGCTGTTATTAGGGTTTCTGAACACTGTTTAACAGTAATAGTAAAAAAGCTGTTTTTTTTACGAAAAAACAAAAAAAAAATTTGATTGAAATTAAAGCGACAAAAATTAAAAACTTTTTCTATGCATTCAATTCTATTACAATATTATAATGAGTTTTAACTGCATAAAGTTTTGTTCAAACCTGAAAATGTTAGAATATTTTATTCAAACACTTTTTTTTTTTTTTTTTTTATTCACCTCCTCAAGGTCAAGAAGGCCATTACAGACGAGGAGGCTACTTATTTGTAGCTATAACCCTCTTTCAACTCTATAACTTTGAAACACAAACCTTAACAAACAAGGCCGCTGCGCGGAGAAACGAGTTGAGCGCAGTACTACCAGAGACGTGGTGGGGATCAAACTTACTTACAGATAAAAGTTTAATTATTTACATTTTAAAAATGAACAATTGCTAAAAGAAAAGTTTCTTTATTAAAAATATATCAACACATTTATTAAAGTAATTTGAATGGTAATTTAATTTGATTTATTTTTCATTTTTTGATTTTTTTTTACTATTCTAGTACTAAAAGTTGCTTAAAAATTTCTTAAGAGTTTCTTTAGAGTTATAAATAGGGCTTCACCAGCACTAGTTTCTTATTTACATTGACTTAAAAATAAATGCATAGTTTCTAGATATGAATTAGTTTTTAACGGTAGGTAAAATGGCAACTTAATATCCATACTTTCTATTCATAATATTAGCAATGTCAGTCTGGATATATATGCAACAAAGCAGAAGATTCCACTAACAAAAAAGTTAGAAAGACAGTTTCAGCGTTTTAACAAAATAATAAAATGCTCAGGAAATTCTACAACTACCTTGAAAAATCACTTAAAAACTCACTGACTTTGTTTACATAAGGCAACAGAATCAATCATACTAACAGATGAGAGAGCTAGCGATAAGAGACAAAAAACTGTTGGCAACTTCTTTGCGCAAAAGAAGCTTTAAAATATTGTTTTTGATTTGGCATTTCAGTTCGAGTTATGTCAGTCAATAGCTCGAGATGAACTCCCCGCTAATAAAAGTGATGTAATAAAACTTTGGTACAAAGGTTTTGATGAAAAGCAAAACAAAACGATTGACACCATAAAATTAAAAATAGCCAATAGAGTGAAGTTTTAGCATGACTGTTGATAAGGTTACTACTTTATGAGGGTAGAGATTTTTTTGAGTTAATAATCATGAAAAAACTAACAATATCACAAATAAAACAGGATTAATTCAAATTTTAGGTTATGCAGTGCGCTTGATATGGTTGAAATAATGAAACAACATCTAAATGTGTTTGGAATATCGATGGAAAAAGATTTGATTGCATCTGCTCAGGATGGAGCATCTGTAAACGAGAAGTATATTTAAAAATTCAGATGTTATTGGTCATTTTTGTCTTAATCATGGTATAAATCTTAAAGTATGTGGCACACTTTATGCAAAAAAACATGATATTGACGATTTAAGTGACGCCTGTGATGATGATAACAATGAAAATGATTCTTTTGATGAAGGCATCAATTTTGAATTTATAAATGATGATTGTAAAGATTATATTGACTACAATAATTTACTTAAGAACTCACGCAAACTGATAAAATACATCAAGCTGTCAAGTGTTTGAAATCAAGTTTTTCAATCAAAATTCAAGACTCTTTTTGCAAAAAAAACTAAACTTCATCTTGATGTAAAAACTTGTTGGAACACAATACCAATAATGCTTGAGCCATTGATAAAGACAGAGACAGCAATTCGAGAAACTTTATTATAATATAAGGCAGATATAACTTTACCCAATAATGTAGACTTCGATGACTTGAAAGGTTTACTAATGGCAATGAAACCCATTAAACTTGCTATAGCAAGCTTGGCCAGGAAAGCATGCGATTTCAAGTCTTTATATGACCATGGAAATAATATTTTATTTTGATGATTTAGCCACGGTTTTTAACAAATGGGCTTAAAAAATTGTTTTTAAATACGTTGAAAATAAATAACTTCAAAACGTTTATCTTTTACTAACGTTTTTATATTAGCAAAACTCTTTTAAATAAAGTAGCTAATGATTTTAGTTAAAGTATCATTGAAAGTTGTATATAAAATTATTTAATATTATTTATATTATTTAATTACAAAATTAATATTAATATCAATTTAATATTATTTATAACATTTAATTATTATTTAAGATTTTTTTATAAGTAAAATAAAAAAAGATTTATAAAAAAAAATTAAATTTTATATGTGACAACTTTTAAACAGCAAAGGTCTCTTTAATAAACTTTATTTAAGAATTATTAAAATTGTTAAGAAGATAAAAAAAGACTTTTTTGAAAAAAAAACTTTTTTGAAAGCCGTTTGAATTTAATGATCTTTACTTACAATTTTGAATTATTGAGATGCAATTTAAATCAAATCACTACTAATACATACAAACAAGACAAATACATACATACAAAACAAATCACTACCAATGATTTTTTATAAAAATAATAATGAATAATATATATAAATTTTTAAGTGTTTGTTTTTTATTATAAATGTCTTTAAATAAAAAAAAAATTATATCCACTTTTAAATAAACAATTTAATTATTTTTTCTTTTGTTTACCACAAAGAATTGTTTAGAATCTTTTTTTGTTAAACAATTGTTAAATGTAATTTGTAACTTTATTTAAAACAGTTTTCGCATAATATTATAGTATAAAAACATTAGTAAAGATAATTCAAAGTTATTTATTCCAAACTTAATTTACATAATCTTATCGTTATAGTTTATAATTTTTTTGTTAAGTTTTAATTTGAATTTTTTCCTTTTTGTTTTAGTTAAGTTATTTTTATTTTATTTTTTGTAATTTTTTTTACGAAGATTTATTTGCTACTTTTACGATAAGTTTTTTTGTTAAGTTCCTTTATAGTTAAAATAATATTTCAGCGCATTTTTATAAATTAACGCTGCGGTCAAGTTTTCAAAATCAAATAGTATTTGCATGGTCATATTTTGACGTGAAATTGCATGCCTTCCCGGCCAAGCCTGTATCTTGAGCCTGAATCTTAGTAGAGAAGATGCAATTCTGCCAGTAATCCATCAGATAAAATTTTAACTCTACAAGAGGAACTGAATGTGTTGCTGAAGAAAAATGAATCACCAATAATGCCTTCTGGACAGGACAATTTCAGGTAGTTATAAGCTGAATTTACTCTTTTTATGAATACAGTGTACAGAAAACTTACAAAAGTTTTATGATGCATTATTAACAATTAAGCCCACATCTACAGATGTTGAAAGAGTATTCTCTGTGTGTTAACTTTTGAACAAAAATTAGATCATGATTTTTAGATGAGTCATTATCAGCTCTTGTATTTTTGAAATACTATTATAAGATGTAAAGTTTATGTTAAGATATATATTATTGGAAAAAATTTTACTCTTGCCTGCTTAATACAAAGAGGGTGGGTTGGGGTAATCAAGGAGGGGAGGATGGGGAAGAGGGGAATTTCAAAAACCGTAAAACAGCTATGTTTTTGAAAATTATAAAACAGTAAAACAGCTGTTTTTTAAAAACCCCCGTTTTTCAGAAACCCTAGCAGAAACCCTAGGTTTGCATCATTCTTGCTTAGTTCCTTGATGGCTACTTTCAAAGGCAATTTAACAAGTTTGCAAGCATCAACATGTCTCCCAAAGAGAATGTGTCCTTATTTAAATCAGTTAATGTTTTGTTAACACAATGCACAACTTTTGAAAATCTGTTCAACATCACACATTGGATTCCAACATATTTTTATATCTAGTTTTATTTTCAGTTTTTTTCCAAATTTTTACTAAATATGTTCTTGTAAAATAAAATGTTTTACCACAGAAGTTTTTAACATTTTTATGTTTGCATGTACATTCTTGACAATCGAATTTACTACAAAGCTATGTATCTTTGATTTTGAAAAGATTGTTGATGTAGTTTGTTACGTTTTGCCAGATTTTTAGGTATTTTATACATTTTCAAGTAAACACAACCAATCAGGGTTTTTGATTTATATAATGTGTGATTTATATAATTGTCTGCTGCAACTACTCTTAAAACAATCTTATTTAAAGATTCTTTTTCAATTCTTTTTCAATGTAAAACTTTTTGCTGCTTTTTTGCAACACTAATACTTACTTGTTTTCTTGATTATATAAAAAAATTGTTGAACAAAAAAGCAATAAAAAAAAAAGTTTTATTTTTTTATTTACTTATGATTTGCTCAGGGAGTCCCAAAAAGAACTCCAGATTTGATAGTCACAAAAAGATTACTTTTTCCTAGTTTTTGGTATTTCTTATAGTAGATCATAAGTCAACCAACATGTTCTGGACACCAGAGACTGGGAAAATATAGAGGTATAAAGATGGAGTTCTTTTGGGACTCTGCATCCCTGGATTACTTATCTAATTGTTATAATAAATCTCTAGTTTGTTTGATTATTTTAATTATAGTAATAATAATTATTATTATTAAATTGCTCTTGAACTTTTTTTTATTTTATTTAATTACAATTACTTTATTGTGATTTAAATTTTTTTTAAATTTAGAAACATGTACAGATGGCAGATGAAGCAGTATGCATAGGTCCGCCACCATCAAAGCAAAGTTATCTTGTTATTGATAAAATTGTAGAAGCATGTAAACTAACTGGGGCACAAGCTGTAAGTTTATAAATGCTATTGTTGATGATATTCATGATATCAATTTTGCTTTTTGTTGTTGTTGTTCAACCTAGTATAATTTCTTTCAATTGCTGAAATAAGCTTCTTTTACACAATTACATATTTTATATGAGGCAGGCAACCAGATGCTTTGTTTATAAAATCTGATGCTCTAATCTAATCATGTGTCAAAATACAAAGTTATTAAACTGAAAAGTTTTTAGTTATTCATATTTCTTAATAAATGGTTTCTAATAAATGGTTAACACAAGTTGTAACTCAAGTATTAAAAGATTAAAATTAAAAAAAATAATAATAATTACAAGATAAACAAATATAAATTAATTTTTTTCTTTAATTAATGGTCGTTAAGTTTATAAAAAATAAACTCATGAATATTAAAAGTGTTATATTTGTCATTTTTTTTCAGGTTCATCCTGGTTATGGGTTTCTCTCCGAAAAGTATCAATTCTATGAAAAGCTTGTAAGTCAAAGTATTTTTTATTTAAATGATCATCAATTCTGTGAATGGATTGTATTTTAAAATGTTTTCATTTAATTGAATAAGTTAGAGAGAAGTTTGTATAGTGGCACAGGGTTGTTTTATACCTTAAACCTTATATAAGTTTGTGAAAATAGCCTAGTCTTCAAAAGTAGTATTGTAGGTGTGTTCAGGAAAAGTGTGTTCCTGCAAAAGACTGTATATACACTGTAAATACAAAAATGTAAACAGACTACAATCTGTAATACTTACAGTCAGGTCATGTAAAAAGGGTTATGGTTGGTCTTTGTTTCAAATCATACCATTTTTTTCAAATACTTCATTTATTTCAATAGTACAAAGGATAATAGTTTTTCATATTGGCTTGCATTGTTTAACATTTAACATTGAAGACTTATTATAAAGCTTATTATTATTTAAGTTTTTTTGGAGTAAAAAAATCAAAGTTAACTTGAGCAAAAAATAAAGAGAACATTTTTAAATATAATTTAAATATATGAAAATATTCTAAAAATTTTTCAATTTTAAATTCTGCATTTTAACTACTTGTTATTTAAATAAATAAACCTGGTGAAAAAAAAACAGTTTTTTAATTATTGTCAATTGTTCGGCCTTTCTGATTAAACATTTGTTGGTTTTATTGTATATAATTTTTTCTTTTTTCTTTTCTTTTTTTTTTAATCAGATGAGCTTGAAAAGGAGCTTGAAAAGAATCTCACTTCTATGAGCCTGAAAAGGTACTCACTTCATATGCTTGAAAAGGATCTTGAAAAGGACCTTGATCTTCATGAGTTTGAAAGGAATCTTACTTCTACTACAGAATGTGGCTCTCAGTGGCTGGAAAGCTTTAACTCAGATAAAGCTCAATTTTTTTCAGCTAATCGTTATTGCAATAATCTAGATGAAATAATCTAGAAGAAATGACAGTAGAAGAAATCTAGAAGAAATGACTTCCTATATTTATGAATGGTAATGTACTCTATGAGTTATCTACCCTACTTCTAGGATTAACTCCTATTTCTGGTCTTTCTTGGATATGTATCAAATCCGTAGCAAAATTAGCATCTGCTAAAGTTGCATCTCTTTATTGTGCTTGCCTCTTTCTTACTCCATCTCTTTATTGTGTTTGCCACTTTCTTACTCTGGATTATATTGTTTATCTCAATAAATCTAAAATATGTCCTTCTATGGGTTACTGTTGCCTTTATGGAATCTATGGAATCTGTTTCAATCTAATTCTATGGAATACTGTTACTGGAGCGGAGCTTTGAATGATGTCCTATCTATTTCAGACAAGGTGCAAAAAAGGCATTTTAAACATAGTTGCACCTGCTCTTGCAGACAACCTTTAACCATTGTCACATTGTGGTAATGTTGCTTCTTTTTCCTATAAATACTTTTGAGCACTGCTCTAAAGTGCTAGCATTTCTTGTGCCATCTACTAAAATTCATTCTCATACAACTCATATACGGCGTATATATATATATATATATATATATATATATATATATATATATATATATATATATATATATATATATATATATATATATATATATATATATATATATATATATATATATATATATATATATATATATATATATATTAATGTATAATATATAATGTATAATATATAATGTATTATACATTATATATTATTGTAACATAAATATCTGACTTCATCAAATTATCAAAAAAAATATCTTCTGAACAAAGCAGAAAGTATGAAGCTGATACAGTTACACAAAATAAAAACCAGCTGTGGTTTTATCTAAAAAAACATCGATTAACTTTAAGTCCTTCTCATAAAATTTATATACGCAAAAGATGTGAAACTCTAATTAACTATGTTCATTAACATAGTGAATCATGGATGGTTCTAAGAATCATGGATGGTTCATATATATATGACTCACAATGAAGTGCTGCTATATCGACTGAGGGTTTGGTTTAAGCAGGCAGTCTATCAAATAATTAAAAAAAAATATATATATATTTATATTTTCATATTGTATTCGTCTAGTTTTTTTTAATTTCCTTTTATTTTATTTTTAGATAATTTTTTCGCTTAAAAGTTCTTAAAATATACTACTAAATTAACTACAATGGTTCGCAAAAAAGTTCACATTTTATCAGTTCCCAGTTCCTCAGGGTTAGGGTTAGGGTTTCACATGGATTTCACTATGTTCATGAACATAGTTAGAACCATCCATGATTCTAATTCAAACATGGATATTCATTTTTGATAATCATATAATTGATCCAGTCTGTTTCGGTCAATCACTAGCAGATACTAACTTTGCAATGGATTGTATTTATGATTTCCATTTGAACAATAATCCTAGAAGACATAACATAGAGGATTCTGTATAAGTGTCATTCGTTAATATAATTAATATATCAACTTGATATCAACATTTTGCATTAAACAAGTGAATTAGATTTGGGTTCTAATTCACCAGCCACTGCAAGCACCAATAGTGATAATTATATTGTGATAATATATAATGTTCAAAAAGCAAAAGCATATATAATACATTATACATTAACCATATATCAATGTATATTGCGCCATATATGATATAATTTTTAATTTTTTAAACATACACCAATGTTACTCGTCATTAAATTAAATCTTATCCTTTTACTGTGTTCCTAGTGCTCCGAAAATTCTTATTTGTCTAGTTTTTCCTTGAACATCAGTTCTTTAGAATTCGCTCTTTTCATCTTGTTTTGCTGATTTATACAATTTGCAATCTTTTAAGTCATCTGTTAATTGTTTTATTGCTTTATAAACTTAATCTTTTCTCTTCCAGTAATTTCTAACTCTAATAACTAATAACTAATAGTGGTTGCTTGCAGCCTTGTTGGAAGTGAAGATGTTAAAAAGAAAAAAAAAGATATGGTTTTTGTTTTTTTGGATTTCCTAAAAGTTTCTGTAAATAAAACTTAAATATATACTTTTGCAATATGTAGATGTTTAACTTTTTCAGTTATTACCCATACAAAAAATAAAAAAAATGTTTCAAAAAAATCGAGAAAACCATCAGTTTAAAGCTAAATAAGACAAATATAGTTGGCCTTCATTTCGTTCAAACTGTTTTGCAATTGAATAATAAAGACTTCAAAATAGTTTCCTTTTATTTTGATCAAATTGATACAGTTTTTTATAAACAATCAATGCTTTTATAATGCAATCTACATAATGTGTCACTGTATTACAATTGTCACTAACACATGGTAAGTATTTATGTTGTAAGGTGGATATTAGATTATGGCTGTTATAAAAGTTACATTTCTTAATACCTAAGTGTAGGGGGGAAAGGGGGTCCAAAATTCTATATTTTTTGTTTAACCAGTTATTCTTAATTAATTTTTTGAGAAAAGTTTAAAAAACGATTCAGTTTTTGCTAATTTTTTATGGTCGACTATCTACTTCTATTTTAAAAATTTAAAAGATATAAAAAGTAAAAGTCTTTGCAAAAGTTTCATTACGTATAAAGTTACGCAACTTTTCTTTCAAATTTAAGCCCTTCAAATTTTGATTGGATAAATTTGATTTTTAATCGCTGCGTTTTAGAAAGAAAAGTTTAATCTGAGGTCTTTTTCTAAAAAAAATGTTTTAAGTAATCAAAAAGACAGATTGCTTCAAAAAAAAAGTTTTATCTGAGGTCTCTTTCTAAAAAAAATGTTTTAAGTAATCAAAAAGATTGCTTCAAAAGATCTTAACTTTTTTTTTTTTTTTTAAATTTTAATTGTTATTCAAGCTATCAAGAAGGCTATTCAAGATTTCTTTTTTTTTTTCACTTTTCTTTAATGAAGTCAAGAATAAATCTTCTTTTAAAGTGCCAGTCAGTAGAAGTTAAGTTAAATTCTTAAGTTTTAACAATTCTAAAGATAAACAGTTAGTATAAAGCAACACCGCTACCTAAAAGGCTTTATAAAAAACAAACTGGGTGATCAAATTTTGAAATTTTCGGCTTTACTCTAAAATGCAGTGAATAACTAGTTAAAAAAAAATTCTAGAAGCAGTTAATAAGCATACCTTAAAGAGGTTGAATGATTGTATCATTCTTGCTAGAGCATTTTGGTTTAAGTTAGCCTCAGGACTTCAAAAAAGAGAAAAGTATTATGTGTTTGGTTGATGATGGAATATGATTAGTATTAACTTTTTAATTAAGTTGTTGCAGTTGGAAAGCTTTGGAAAAAATCCATTTAATTTCAACAGTAGATGTATACTTAATTATTTAAACCATATAAAAAATGAAGGTTCGCGCAGTTTAAAAATATTTTGGAGAATTATTGTCCAGTTATTTGTCCAAAAAGTTGAAACTATGGAATATCGTTGAAACCAGCTACAAAAACAAATGGATAACAATGGAAGAGCAGCAAACTTTACATCAGGTGTGCAAGATGAGTTTTGTTTTAGCTTGATTAAAGTTACAAGGCAGCCCATTTAGCTGTGAACTAGACATTATTGAAGTAGATAAAGATATGTTAAAATAAAAAAAAAGGTTCGAAAAATCAGGTTCTTTATTTTAGGAACACAATGTAGGTCATTGTCGTGGAGGTCTATTCTGTTTAAATACATTTTTTTTGATATAAAAATACAAACCTCTATCTTATATCTACCATAGAAAACACGCTCATAACCTCGATGTTTTATAAGGAAAGTTTAGGAATCTCTTACATTATGATGATTTTTATAGTTATTTTCCATTTTCAATAGTAAATAACAAATTGTATGAATTATTTTTATATATAATACTTAATTTTTTTTGTTACTTATAAATGATAAGGTATATTATTGATAAGTTAAACAGAAAAAGATTTCTAGTTTTCTACTTTTCTTATATTTAATGATAATAATAATTTCATCTAATTTTAACAATGCCTTTTTTTGTCAATATATTCACTTTTATTAAAATCGAAGTAGAAGGCTAAATAATTATAATGAAAAAAAAAATGATTATGGTTTTCAGAATCAGCATAAAAAACTAATTAAGAAAAATTGGTTAAACTATAAAAAATCTAAAAAAAGACGATTATGGACCCCCCCTACTAAGTGATATAGAAGTTCTTTTTAAATAAAGACAAAGTTATTGCCAATTTTCTTATGACAAATATAAACAAAACCAGATCAAGTGATTGCTGATTTTCAACTTTTCTGAACTCAAAAAAAAAAAAAAAAAGCAAACATGGTATTTATCTAATTATTTAAGTTTCAAGTTTCAAAAATCATAAGTTAGTTTAAAGAGAATAAAAAAAGAATTCACCTTATGAAGAAGCTTTATAAGATTATTTTTAAAATAAAATGTAAAAGAAGAAGGTGTTGTTTATTTCACTGTTTAAATAATAATTTATTATTTCTAATTCTTTAAATTTCTATAGTAGATAAACTTTGCAATTAGATAATTATTGGAATTAGTTTTTAGGCATTCAGAATCTGTATGAGGCTCTTATTAGGTTTTTTCTCAAAAAGTCTTTTGCTTTATTTTTTAAGAATTTTCTATTTGAATGAGCATCTAATAATTTGAATTATTGAAAAGTATTAAGTGATAGTTATACAAAATTTAAAGTTGAAGTTTTTCCATGATTAGTTATTAAAAAATTGTCTGGTTTTGTAATCTTTTTATTTATTTTTGCCAAGGAAAATTCTGGAATTATTTTTATTGGTCCAAACAAGCACGCTCTTCTGGCTATGGGAGATAAAATCGAAAGTAAAAAAATTGGTCTTAAAGCCAAAGTCAATATCATTCCTGGTTATGATGGTGTTGTTGAAGATGTAGAAAAAGCCATTAAGCTTACAAAAGATATAGGTAAAATACTTTTTTATCATAGCTTTTTTTCTATAGCTATATCACATAAAATTAGTATTATATTTTGTAAATGAATTTATAAAGTATTTGTTTTATTATAATTAAACTGTTATTAATATATTGTTGAGTACAAGAGTTGTGCAGTTGTGTAGTATTTGCTATGTAAACAAAAGGTTTTAAGTCTCAAACTTAATTTTAAGTTCTACATGTTTCTTTGCACTTTTCAGCTATTCCACGTTGTAACGGCATGACATTTGACTTTTTTTTTTTTTGGGGGGGAGGATTCATAACATTTTAAAAATGTTTTATAAATTCAAATGAAGACACCACATAAATATATCAACATAGTTTATGTCACACCGTGACATCATGGTGTGACCAGTACAAAATCTTTGAATAATAAGACAATCACATCATTAAAAAGACAGTTGAAACAAAAGAAACCAATTTATTCAGATTTTAAGATTGGTATAACAATAACGTTTAACAAAACAGTTTATTTACAATAGTTTCAAAAAAAGTCTTGTAAAATTCAACTATACTTTTTTATTTAATTTTATCTAGTTAACTTAAGTATGATGCACTTGAATGAAATTTCATTTCCATTTTATCATTAAACTGTTTTTAACAATGGGCACTAAATATTCCAGGCGTTTTACAAGCATTATTAATGATGTTTCCAAGTTCTGTGCCATCAAAAGCAGTTTTAATTTTTTCAGCAGCAACCATGAAAATGTTTACTTGACTTTCATCTCTGACGGCTTTATAAAATGCTGTTGCGTCATCAATCAGAGCTTCTCTTTAAACAATTTTTTGTGTTGCTAATTTTGTTATGGTTGCTCCTATACCATCGCATGGTCCTTTACTTGTCCTTTAAACGTGTCAATTCAACATTAGAATTTTGTTTTTCCTTTTTCCGTATCGAGTCCTTTCCCTTTATAAAATCCGGACCAAGTTTTTGCATTTGTCTTTCTCTATACTTTCTCTGGCGTTCAGCATGTGTCAGAGGCATTTTCATTACTTTCAACAAAGAAATAAACAATTTGTTTATGAAAGTTTACTTTATATAAGAATTGTATAAACAATAAACATTCAGAATAACTTCAGCAATGACGCAACAAAATTTAAGAAAAACTAAATAATAAAGGTGTTAGTAAAATATGTCTATTTACAGGTACACCTACATGTTTAATTAAAAAAAAAAATGTTAGTTATATTAAAGGAGGTTTCAAAACTTATCCACAAATAAAAAAAACTAAAAATACTAAAAATGTTAAACCAACGTTTTTTGCGTAACATTTTTATAAAAATTAGTCTTTAAAAAATTTAATTTAAAAAAATGTCACGTCGTGTCGTCACAACGTGACATAAACTTAAAACACATAACACAAAAACTAAAAATATTTAAATTTAAATATCTATTGATATTTATTGCCCTATTTTAGTTACAAGTAATTTATAAATATTTATTTAAAATAAATAAATATTCTTATGCTAGAATGAAAAATGTTTCTATTAGTGTCATGGCGTGACATGTCACAGCGTGACAAACTTAAAGAAGATTAATTAGAAATTTCTCAATGAAAGACTATTTAGTTATTATAATAAATTTTCAATTTGAAAAGCAAGAGCCCCATCTGTATTTTGCGTAAGACAAATCTACCTAGAAGTTTAAAAAAGTTTAAAAAAAAAAAGGTTTCAAAATGGTTTACTAGAAAAATAATTTAAATTTGAAGTCTAAAAAATTTTGTTTAAAGTTTAAGCATCAAATCCTAAAATTCTTCGAAAACCAGTTCTACATGTTACATGTTTTTAGAAACTACAAACCTTTAACTTTTGAATGATACATTTAGTTTTTTATTTTCTAGGATTTGAAATTTATATTAAACTTTTTGTACAACGTGGCCCTCTTGTTTCTTTGCGCCAAAATCTTGTTTTAACCCTTCCCAATGCATCAAAAATTTCTAACTCTAAAAGTTTTTGTCAACTTTTTTCAGAATTAAAAAAATTTTTCAACTTGTTTGAAAAGTAACATTGTTTGTTTTAGCTCTTCCTGCTGCATCAAAAGATCTTTCATATAACACTTTAACCCTGAGACACATTTTTTAGAGTTAAGAAAGGGTTAAGAAAGGGTTGCTACAACAAGTCAGTTTAAAGCTCAGGTCTTGTGATAAAGTTTTTAAATGATTCTATGGCCGGTTAGTATTTAGATTTTACAAACACTTTGGTAGCTTTCAGAAAAGCTGATTTCATGAATAACTATAAAATATCAGAACATTAAAAATGGTATGTTGTGCATGAATGTTACTGTTAGTGCTTTTGATGTGAATTGCTAAAGCCACATTGACAGTTTTTTTATAATTTTAGGCTTAATTAATAATGACGCATATTTACAATTTGAATAAATAGTTGCAACTGTATAGTTTTTATTTAGGGTGTACTATGTCGTTAAAATTGACTTTTAGGGTGTCTTGTCATTTAGGGTGTACTATGTCTATATTTAAGTCAAGTTTACTTATATACCTCAAGTTGATAAAACAATATAAAGTTAAGTTTTCAATCTTTTTTTTAATATTCATCCCAAATAATTTATTTTCTATGGAATCTAGCCGCAAATTCCACCATCTACATGCTCTTTGAGATACTATTCAATTCCTACTGTTTGAGGGGCTTTTTTTATTATTTTATTCTGGTAATAAACATTCAATCTAGCTGAAAAATCTACCATCTACTTGCTCTTTGTGGGACTATTCTATAAACATTTCTTACTTCCCTAACAATCCTTATAACTTTTTTTTCCAAGTGAATTTATTTAATTTTTTCTTTAATTTATATTTTATCTCTGATTTAAGCTTTGGCTTGGTTTTTCTTGTTATTCCCTAAGCCTCTGACCATCTTAAGAAGTCTTCCTGTTTTTCGTGGCTGCTAAAAATACCATTTAAAAAAAAATAAAAAATTAATCAAATTTAATTTTTTTTTTCATATAAAGCAGATTTTTCAGATTAAAATTGTCATATTTTGATTTAAATTGTAATTTTTTGATTTAAATTGTCATTTTTTGATTTAAATTGGTTTTCTTAAAATTATCGAATCTTTAATGAATTTGAATGATTGAAAATTTTGAATAATTTTTTTGTTTGTTTCATTATCAAACTTTTACACAAACAAAAAAATCAATGGCGTCATATACTAAAACTCTTAGGATTTAAATGCTCTTGAATAAATTATCAAGTCAGTATATTGCAGAGTATATTATGCTGACTTTTTGGCCTACAACAAAATAGAGAAGACCAGCTAAAATAAAAAAGTTAGTTTTTCTTGGTATGCTGTATATAGCATACCAAGAAAATAAAGCATAATATTTTTTTTTATCATTCTATTTAATATGAACAAAACATGTCTCGGAGGTTTAGGATCCCTTTGGGAAAAAAAAGAAGACTTGATTGAATGAAGAGTAACATAAGAATGAATTTTAGTAGATGGCACAAGAGATGCTAGCTCTTCAGAGCAGTGCCCATTATAGTACTATAGAAACAAGAAAGAGAAACGACATTATAATGATGTGATAATAGTTGGCGGTTGGCTGCAGGAGCAGGTGCAACTATATTTACAATGCGTTTTTGCACCTTATCTAAAAGAGAAAGGACATCATTAGAAGATCTGCTCCATATATGGCAACAGTATTCCATACAAGGGAGGATTTGAGATTACATAAATAAAGTATAAAATCCTGAGTGAGAAAGTGGCGAGCACAATAAAGGGATAAAATTATAGCAGGTGCTAATTTTTCAATGGATTTGATATATGGTAAGAGTTAACCCTAGAAGTTGAAGGGTAAATGACTCATGGAGTACATTACCGTTTATAAATATAGGAAGATCTAGATTATTTCAATAATGATTAGCTGAAAAATATTGAGTTTAATCTGAGATAAAGTTCACTAACCACTGAGAGTTACATGCTGTAGCAGAAGTGAGATTCTTTTTAAGCTCTAATGCTCCCTCCAAGCAATCAGAGAGAGTTGGATTCTTATCAAGACAAGAATAAATGGTACTATCATCAGCGAACAATGCCACCTTGGATTTAAGAATTTCTGGGAGCTTGTTTATGTAAATTAAAAAGAGCATAGAGTCAAGGATAGGAATATCTTTAGAAACCCCTGAAGTTACAAGATATGAAGAAGAGGGTTGTCCTCAAAGACAACTTTTATGCTATGATTGTTAAGAAAGGTTTCAATAATTTCATAGATGTTACCTGATACACCGTAAGAAGAAAGCTTATGAAGTAGATCAGTATGCCAAACTTTGTCAAAGGCTTTAGAAATGTCAAGAGTGAAAACTTTTACCTTTCCACATCTAATGCACGACAAAACTATTAGTTATTACTGTTAGCAAATCAGCTGTAGAACGAGAAGATCGAAATCCATATTAATGATCAGAAAGTAAGTTATTAGATTCAAGATTCAAGATTAAGTGTTTGTTAATTAAAGATTCAAAAACCTTGTTTATGATAGGAAGAAGACTAATAGAATGGTAGCTAAACAAATCAGATTGCTCTCCAGAATTTTTAAAAATAGGGATAACAGATGTTGCTTTCCAACAAGCTGGAAAACAAGACACTTATAAGCACTTGTTAAATAGTTTTGAAAGTATAGGCCACAGCTCAAGAGAACACTTCTGCAAGACTATAACAGATTTTGTCCGCAATACAAGCTGTAGATGAGTCTAAGTAGGAAATCACTTTAGATACTGAAGCTGGAGTGATACTAATGTCAAGCAATGGATCAACCTGTTTGTTGGCTATATTATTTAGTACGTGATTAGTGCAATCAAGAGATAAGATTGATCTCTAATTAGCTTAAGTAAACTTAACAAAACATAAACAAAATTAATATTATAATAAGCAAAATTATGAAAGGTTTTCATAATATAAGACTCAAAATTAGTTTCCAAAAATGTTTTAAATAATTATTAAGTGGTAATAATTTAAAAAAAACTGAAAACTTAATAAAAATAAATAAATAATAATAATGCAATATTAATTTATTTAATTTTCATTTTAATTTTAAATTATTTTTATAGGTTATCCAGTAATGTTAAAAGCATCAGCTGGAGGTGGTGGAAAAGGAATGAGAGTTGCTTATAATGATGATGAAGTGCGAACTGGTTTTCGTCTCAGTTCTCAAGAAGCAGCAACTAGTTTTAATGATGATAGACTTTTAATTGAAAAGTTTGTTGAAGACCCAAGACATATTGAGATACAAGTAAATTCAATGTTTTAATTTTTATATCTGTATTTATTTATATAACATGATTTTATTTAATTTTGTATTTTGTTGTATTTAAATAACATACTTTATTATTCAATATTTTAATTTTTACATTATTTTACTCATTTTCTGTGTTAAGTGTTTCTATAGTCTTTAAAGAGCAGGTTTAAGCTAATTTAAATTTTTTGGCTTAAACTGTTCTGCTAATTATTCACTATTTAAATTTATTTTACAAGTTACAAAATTATACATAGATTTTCTCAAAGGTGTTATAATAACAACGTTTAGGCATAATTATGCAACAAAAATGTGAATGCTGGATTAATTATAATTTTGATATAAATATATATAGAAGCTAGTGATTGCAGTTTATATGAATAATTTTGATATCAATAGATAATTATAAATAAAGAGTTAATATAAAACATTAATTTTAATTTTTTAATTTTCAGTATACATTATGTGCATGGTATACAGTATATAGATTACTCATGATTTTAATTGCCCACTTTTTAATAACAAGGCAGAATTATTTATCCTTTTTAGATTAATATTATATTAAGTTGTAGTAAGTAGAAAAAAAACTGAATAAAATATAAATATATTCAGCTGAGTATTTAAACTTTAATTTCATTATTATTATAGTTGTAAATTAATTTAAATAACTTTTTTTTTTTTTTAATACTTTATAAAATTATTTTTTTAATAATTATTTAATAATTAATTTTTTATTAAGTATTGATTAATTAATAATTAATTTTTTACTAAGTATTGATTAGTTAATAATTAATTTTTTATTAAGTATTGATTATTTTAAATTTTTTTGAAATTAAGTTATAAATAGAGGTGCACCGATAATTTTGCCTGATATGCCGGATAGTGAACTTTTCTCAAGTTCTTAAGTGTTTATGAAGTTAAATTAAGTTTTGCCATTTCACATTAAATAGTGTTTAATATTTAAAAAAAAAATAAAATCAATAAAAAACTGATATAACACAGGTATATGCGTTTATAATGTATAAAGAAAAATTGTTTTTTATTGCCAAATTTTTTTTTTTTTTAAATTTTTCTTTTCTATACTTTTTCAGCACATATACCATGTCATACAGTTTTTTTCTGATTTTTTAAAGTAAGATATTAAATACTATTTATTGTAGACTTGCAAGACTTATTTTTTCTTCATAAACACTTATAGAACTTTAGAAAAGTTCACTATCTGGCATATCCGGCAAAAATATCCGCTACACTTCTAATTCTTCTCGAGCTAAATTATCTTTTTCTGTTTTTAGTAATATCAGTAAGAAAATATTTCTTACTCATAAATCCTTGTTCTGAAAATATATCCTATTTGTTATGGTAAACTAATACATTTATTAAGTTGCTATAGTAAATAATGGTAAACTAATTAATTTATTAAGTTGCTACTGTTGGTAATGGTAAACTAATTTATTCAGTTGCTACACTTGGTAATAAACTAATTTATACAGTTGCTACTTAGAGTAATGGTAAACTAATTTATTAAGTTGCTACTGTTGGTAATGGTAAACTAATTTATTCAGTTGCTACTGTTGGTAATAAACTAGTTTATTCAGTTGCTACTGATTGTAATAATAAACTAATTTATTAAGTTGCTACTGTTGGTAATGGTAAACTAGGGATGGCACTTTTACTTATTTTGATGTAAAAACGCGAATCACTTTTAAGCGCAAATTATTTTACATAACTTATATAAAAATATATAACTTACTTACATTTAAAAGTAATTCGTTTTTTTTTACGTAAATTATATAACGTGTAAAACTTAATTACTTAAGTTAAGTTTTTTAAATGAGTAACTGTTACTTGAAAAAGTAATTTACTTTTACAAGTAAAAGTTATTTGCATTTTTACTTTTACTTGTAAAAGTAACTTATTTTTAATGGTAAGTCGTGTAAAGTAAATTACTTTCAAAAGTAATTTTGGTTATAATTATGTAAAAAATTTACATCGAAATGTAATTTACTTTTTAAATGTAAAAAAAGTTATTTATGAAGTAAACTTACATAAATATAATATTTAAAAAACATAACACTTACTTTACCAAGTAAAATAAAACTACATCATAACAACAAATTACTTTTACGTGTAAAAGTAACTAATTAGCATTAATTAGCTTACATAAGAGTAATTTGAAAAAAATTGTTATTTACTTTTACAAATAAAAGTAATTTTTTCTTTGAAATTTTATACTTTACTTTGTAAGTAAGTAAAATGTAAGTTACATTATTTACTTTTTTAAAGAACAGTCATTTAATGTTGATTTAACGTAAATTTTGAGATAGGTAGCGTATTCAAATCCATTTTCTGTATGAGGGCACTTCTGGGTACTACTTCAGGTATGTGGGCAAGTATGTAGTGGGGCATCAGAAAAAATTTTTTTTTCACGTATATCAGAAAGGGTAATTCTATTATAATTAGAGGCAAATATAGTCATGTGGGAACAACAGTAGTGTAGAGACGGGAACCCTGCCACATGAGTGCTAATAGAAGCTGGTAAATAATCATTGATTTTTTATTTTTTATTTTTTTGTTAAGTAGAAATAGGTTAGCGACCATAATGAAACTTTGGAGGAAGGGAGCATAATTTCTTAACTATGGGTAATTCATGCATGTGTAAACCCTGACTAAGTCACTGTTCTTTAGAGTGCGCTTTTTCTCCAGTTTTTTTCTTTGTATTTGCCTTTTCAATCAAGTATTTTGTTATGGTAATATGACGCAATATAATATTTTTGGTACCCGCAAGGACATCGACTGCTACAACAGTTTTCAAAAAATTATAAGTCATTTAAACTATAAGTTATAATTTATATGATTTAAAGAGTGTTTATCAGATATAATCTTTTATTGCGTTTTATCATATATAATGAATTTATATTGCGTTTTATCATATATAATGAAATTTCTATTTGAAAAAAGATGGTAAGAAAAGCTGTTTAATCTTCTAATATAGGTTGTGGGCACCCTAATAACCTACTTTTTGTTGCGTTGGTGTCCAACCCGCACAAGGATAATTGGACAAATAAAATCTTATTCAATTAAAATAGCGCTTTAGAATAAACTTGTAATTTTTTTTTTCAAACTTTATTTTGACTTTACAAGATGTTTGTCGCCTATCAGTTGTCCCAGAATCTTGCGATTGATTTTTCACTACCTTCCGGACTAGCTTGAGCTCTGAAAGTTCCAGCATATGTGTAAATTTAATAAAAGTAAATCTTAAAATTGTTTTCAGAGCCAACTGGAGAACTCCACTTTTTGGAATCTCTTTTTTTTCTTATATTTATTTTACTTTATCTTTTAGACTTTACTTTGATCTTACTTTATCATGACAGCATTTGGGTAATCCCAATGAAATTGCATGTTAAATTTGGTTCCTGCAAAGAGGGTTGTACCCTTTATTTTTTTCTCTAATATTTTGTTTTTCTCTAAAAATTGAGGTCTTTAACTTTTTAGAAAGAATGATTTTTGCAAAAAACCTTTAAAAAGGCATTTTTTTTTGGTTTATTTGTTTTAGTATTAATTTTTTTGTTGGGAGGAAATAAGTTAATGGCCCTGATAAAAATTTACCATAAATGAGTCGTGCATATTTGTAGCTATGCTGCTGCTTTTTGCTTCTCTTAATCAGTGTGGTTGTTGTTAACGCTAATTCGCTAACTCAAATGTGTATATAACAGCTTGGGGTGTGATACCCCCTTCACCACCCTTGTCCTGGTTGTAACAACCACTCTAACAGAAATGAAATTTTTTTTTTGTTTTTGTTCATTTATTAATATCTATTCATAAAACTGTTGTCTGGAATTAACTAATTTCAAATAGTCTATTCCAGACATTAATTATTCCTTTATTATTCTATTATCTAACAATTATTCTAGCAATTATTCTATTCTATTATCTAACAATTATTCTAGCTAACAACCACGCTAAATAAAAGAAGCTAAAATGCAAAACTTAGAACAAAATTGCAAAATGCAGAGCCATTTCCAAAGCAAGAACAATAAACCAGACAGTCTTTTAAAAAAAATATTTAAATAACTGATGTAAATAACATTAAAAAAGTTAAAGTTAAAATAGTAAAAGTAACTTTAAAATTAACTTAAAAAAAAATTTATAACTTTTCATAACTACAACAACCGCTTATTTTAATTTTTTTAATATAACGAATTTAGTAGGATGGTTCAAAAAAGCAAAATACTTTTTAAAATACTGGTTACAATACTTTTTCTCATTTTCAGTTAAATACAAAGTTTTAAAGTAAAATTTTGTATTTAACTGAAAAAGTATGTTGCTATGGTACTAAATTTTGCATAGCAACTACTCATTTTTACATTAACATTGTCTTAACAGTTTTTTATTTGCGCTAAGTTCACAATATTGGGGGTATCTAGTAAAATGAGATTCAGAATTCTGAGGTTAATTTTTTTTGGTTGCTATGGCTACCTTAATTTGCATAGCATATAAACAACATATTTTTGGTAGTTGTTAGTAATTTAATAACTAACACTAACTGTAATTTAATTACTTTTAATTTTAATTTCTAACACTTGCAGTAATTTAATTACTAACAAGAATTAGTAGTCCACGCTGCATATATATTGTAGCATTAGCCAAAATTTGCAAAATATAAATACGTTGGTTTTAGACTTGCTGTTCAACGATTTGTTTACTTGTATAAAAAAAAGTGGAAATCTGCAAACTATACTGTTAAAAATTTTTTTTTCTTCTAAACTATATTAACCTGGTACTCAAAAGAAGCAGAATAATATGCTGATTTTGAAAATATTGTTTGTTTTAATTTAAAAATGAAAAATAAAATAATAGAGCTGTTTTTTTCATAAAAAAAGCTCTATTTATACCTTGAAATCCCAGTCTTCGACAAAACGGGGGTATATTTTTGCAAATATTTTTTTCACTAAAATTTTTTTTTAATAAAATTGTTATTTATCAAACAAGCATTTTTT